GCGCGGGCGCGGGCGCAGACCCGCCCAGCCCCGCACCGTCGGCGTCGGTGTGCTCGTCAGCGCACCTCGACACAACGCTGGTGGAGGAGGAGGAGGAGGAGGAGGACGGCGTCGGGCTGAAGGAGCTCCAGGCGCGCGTTGCGGAGCTGGAGCGCGAGATGGGGGCGCTGAGGGGGAAGAAGCGCGAGCTGCGCGAGAAGGTCCGCGCGCTGCGGCGGGCGCGGCGGGAGGAGCGCCAGGCGGCGGAGGCGGAGTGCGAGGAGTGCCGGAGGCAGATTCTCGCACTCGAGCAGCAGCTGGGGGAGAGCGACCGGAAAGTGAGGTGGTATGCTGACCGGATGGGTGCGATTGCGGTGGGTCTGCGCGTTCTGGCTGTGCATGGCGTGGGTGCTAATTGGGGTGCCCTTGCATTGCAGGCTTTTGCAGGGACACATCCTGTGTCAGTCTGAAGGCTGCTGCGCCTTATCTGCTGGCACTCTGTCCCTCATTCTTGCGTGTATCTCATCCGTGTTATGTTAGTTGTGATCGACCACTGTATAAACCTGCATGTATTCTGGCGATTTATGTGGCACCATGTAATGAATCCTATATCAGAAAGCAAAATGTTGAAATCACGAATGCACTCGAGTTGACCAGAAGAATATTACGAAACGATTTCTGATCCTAACATGCGCGAACGCACAAAATAATCGCATGGCATTACATGAAGCATATACGTACATGTGAAACCGAGTACAACACAAATCCAGGAGAAAGATACAGCATGCTAATGTCCCATACACAGTAATTAGTTGATAAGTTATGCGTGCTGCAAAAGTGTCCGCAGAGCTGCGTCGAGCTGCTCCTGACTATCGCGTAAGGTATCGTAAGGTAAGGTGGAGGATATCTCCGGTGCCGTGAGTGTCCAGATTCGACAAATGTCCCGCGATGAGAAAGCGTGTAAAGGAGCGTTTTTTCGGGAAGGGTGTAATGAAACCGGTCGGTGTATACGATGCGCGATGCGCGCGCTCGATGAGGGCGGCTAGGATGGGGGCGGTTTAGTTCAGGCGGACGCTGCGGCGGCGCGCGGTCATAAGGACAAAGTCTTCGGGGAGGATGGATGCGCGCTGCTGCTTGCGGGTCGTCTGGCTGAAAGCCTTCCAGGCGCGTATAAGGCGACGCTCGAGGAACTTTTTGCACGAGAGGCTGCGAGGTATAAAGTAAGAAAAAGTTATGTTGAGCGCGCAGGAGAAATACATACCGAGGCCTCTGGATCTCGGGGATGGATGCGCCCAGGTAGCGAGTAGCCATGGTGTTGTGGGGAGTAATGCGAGTAGCGGTGGTTTGTGATGGCAGTGAGTTCGCGTAGGACTTCGCGGCAGGAGACCGGTGTGGTTATACAAGTGGGCTAGGGATACAAGATGGAGGTGGTCGTATTAGAGGGGGAGTAGTAGGTTTAATCGTCACGGACGAATATACAGGTGATTTGGATGTGTGGTGGCGAGTCACAACGAGAACAGCCCGAGCAACAGCCCATCTTATATTCCAGGTCCCTTCCCGCCTCTATTGAGCCCACCGGGTCCCGAGACTATTATTCGGGTAACCGCCGTATTGCCGCAGACAATGTGGCCCGTAGTCTGCGTGTCAGAGCATTGTGGGCACAATGGGCGTGGAGGCAGAGTGACAACCGTGGCGAGGAACTGAGTTCGCTCGCGTTTGTACACAGTCGTGGTTACCAAATACAAGCACAAGGACAAAAACGACAGCCACATTGTTCCAAAATAGGCGACGAGGCTCCCATTTATGGACAGTCACATGACTATGGCGCCTACGAGCGTTCAATTGTAATTTGCAAGGAGTCGAATTGATTTACGTTCGACCAGCGCTCTCAGCTCTTTTCCTTGCCGACATATGCAATGTCGCCTACTGTCACCTGGAAGTGTCCGAGACAATGACAAAAGAGTTAGCTGAAGATTCGCCTGCATCTACTCTTAGTAACACCCTGAGTCTTTCGGTCTTCTCTTGCTTGGCTGGGTAACTACAGGTTCAGAGTCATGGACACTCCAACTCGGTCTCAGGCTGCAGATCTAGCTTTTGAGGGCTGTCATCTAACTCAAATCGCTCGATAATTTTAATAAAAACCGCTGAAGTTTGCACTAGATGAGACATGATGCTAGGTATAGTCATATGACAATTTCAGACCAGTGCAGGTGAAGTATATCACCCACCGAAGTTTGTCGAGCTTTCAGGGTCTCATTTCGCGGTATCTGAGACAATTAGCATCGCTTAAATCACGTTCCCGCCTGCCCACAGAAAGAGTCTAGATATCATTTCAACGAGCCGTCTGCCGGCAGAGTAAACACGCTGTATCCTCCTGGCACTAAGGATCAAGAAAACTCACCATCGGTCCGGTTGACTAATTGTTCAGAAATTTGGGGGCGGCTTGAGAAGCTCAGCTCAGAGCGAACAATCTGACTGCATGTGTCCACGAAGGCGATGAAATCTACTGAGTCGGTTGTCAGGCTTCGTCATACTCTTTTACTTGTGGACGTCGTGACCTGAGAGCCATACACGGCAAGAATTCGTATCACTTAAGCAGGACCTACTTGACTCCGAGTCTTGGAGGATGTTTTCGACTGGACTGGCTTATAGGCTTTTATAGGTGTAAGATCCAAGCGCTTAAGCCATTAATATGATCGACTAGTACGACTCTAATTTAGCCCATTGTGAGTTTCTTTCTTATACTCAATTATCCTCGCTGATGATTATGCGTTCTATAAGTTGCAAGCAGCATGTCCACTCTGGACTCCAAAGACTTTAGAGCCTTTTAGGTTATTTGTTGGTAAATGTCCATATGAACACCTCATGCATTTCAGCTACGTCGGCTTGTCTATCAAAATCATATGGAAACGTTCATGGTGAGCCGTAGGCTTACAGCAGATTATTGACGCAAACCACTCAGACATTCTCAGGGAGATATGCTTCTGTGCCCTATTCGGAGACGAGGAGGGCGATCTTGATAGAGGCTTCCACAGTGAAGGCAGGGCTCCGGTATCGGTCGCTCCGAGCGATCCACAGGAAAACATCGATCTTCAAGCGAGCAGAGGCTGGAATTCGGAACCGATTAGGACAATTTGGCACCTGAGGTCAGTGGTCTGCTATCTGCTCAACAACCTCATACATGATGACTCTTAGGCTGCTAGCATGGTTGGCTGCGAAGGGAATCCCTCGCAGCTATCTAAAAGTAGGGTTGCCCTTCGAAAGATACATTCGTGAAGCTGGGTTTCACGAGTGCGTTTGCGTCTCTCTTTTTGATCATCGCAATGTGGCGCTATAAATCGAAATTATTGGATCCGCATGCGATAGGACATGTTATTCGTGGATGCACTTCCTTCCGTGCAAACAACTCGTTTGTAGTATGCTGCCGCGTATCTTGGAGTGCGCATTAGGGTCAACTTATGGAACGTGCGTGCTGTGATCAGCTCGGGCACATTGAAAATGTCTTTAAGGTGACTAAAATTGTGACTTGGATCCATGGCACTACTTCTTGTCAGTGCAGGGCAGAGCTTCAGAAGAAAATACGAACAGGCGCTCATATACCCCCGGAAGCGAACATCGGTGCACTTCAATGCCGGATCCTCAGCCTCAGCCTCAGGTCTCCTCAAACCGGGACATGACGTCTGTTGTACGACAAAAGTTGTGACCGCCAGCATCGCGTTGGCACAGCGCCTTAGCTCGTTTCAACCTGCTCTCGTAATTGTATCCCTCGAGCGTTCAGGGATTCTGGGAGTGCCCTATGTACGTCTTTAAGCCCTCCTCGGTATGTGTGCACCATTTGCTCCACAAATCCCATCATCTCACACTGTTGTACCACCCTCTGCCCTTCTCTCCCCCACAGCCCGTCGGCAACCCATCATATCCGCCATGGACTCGTCCAGCAAGCACTCAGCGGACACACCCTCTGAGGACACGGGAATCGTCCTTGGTATAAGTAAAGACACATCCACTATCACCCTACAAGAAGTGGACATCGAAACTGTCGATCCAAATGTGTCCGCAAGGCAGGGCAAGCCCAAAGCCTTCTGGTTGATCTTCTTCGCGCTCTCCATCTCCGTCTTTATCGTCGTTCTCGAGGGTGTATGTATTTTCTCGTCTCTTCGTCTGCGCTGTCGCTCATGTTGCAGTATGTCAGTCGTCCATGGGCAATGTGCTTCCGACGATTGCGGGCGACTTGGATATCGCGCAATTCACCTGGATCGGCACGACGTACCAGCTCGCGTCTACTGCGCTACTTCCGCTGAGTGGAGGATTGGCCCAGGTGCGCCGTGCACACACAGTACCCCTTCTACTGAGCGCCCACGAACACGGGCTACGTATCAGATTTTTGGACGACGGCCTGTAATGCTCGTGGCCCTCATCCTGTTTGCTACCGGGGGTGCGGTTTCCGGTTCGTCAAACGGGGAGGCCATGCTCTTCACAGGAAGAAGTCTGTATCCGATCCTCGGGATGCGATACCGTGAACGGCATATTCTGACGGTCTGCAGCTCTCCAGGGCCTCGGGGCCGGTGGTGTCCTCACACTCACGTCCATTGTCCTCTCTGACATACTACCTCTGCAAGAACGTGGTGTATACAACGGTCTACTGGGGATGTACGTGCTCGACGCGTCTGTTGAGCTAATTGTCTGACCTTACACGTTAACGTAGTGTCTGGAGCGGAGCGTCCGGCGTCGGTCCAATCATTGGGGGTACATTCGCGCAGAGCGGTCACTGGCGCTGGTTGTTCTGTAGGCAACCTTACCATACAATAGAGCGATGACTAAAGTGGCTCATACTGCAGACGTTACTATACCGATATCGGGACTCGCGGCGACACTTGTGCTGATCTTCGTGAAGCTTCCAAAACCGGACGGGGATCTGCGTTCTAAACTCAGAAGAATTGACTGGATGTGCGTATTGTTGTCATGAACAAAACGTTCTACCCAGAGAGTGACTGGATCATCCTTGCTCTTCAGTGGCAATGCAATCGTTATGAGTAGCTCTACTGCCGTTGTAATCGCTATGACGTGGGGCGGAGTGGAGTACGCGTGGATATCTGCTCCTGTTCTTGTGCCTCTCGTGCTTGGAATGGTTGGGCTCGGATGCTTCTTATTGTACGAGGGTCTCTGCGCAAAAAACCCTCTCGTGTGTTTTCCGTTTTCAAACATATTGGATAGCACTGACTATATACGCAGATTCCCTTGTCGGTCATTCAAAATCGGACCAGCATAAGTGGGTACGTATCTGCGCACCCATATTGGCTACCATTTCGACAACGTATCTTGTATAGATACCTGCAAACCGCCATCCTCTCCGTTATCCTAACCGGATTCGTATGTCAGTCATCCCGTCCTATCCTTGTGCCCACCTACTCACTTCCCACAGACTATTTTCCTGTCTACTTTCAGGCATGCAAGAATTCTTCACCTATCACTTCGGGTTTCGAATTGCTTGGCGCAGCCCTCACACTTGCGCCGATGAGCCTTGTCTCGGGCGCGGTCGTCGCGAAGACAGGGCGGTACCGCCCACCGCTGTGGGCGGGCTGGGTGCTTGTTGTCCTCGGCCAGGCCCTACTCATGCTCCTGCGCGCAGACTCTGCGCGCGTAATAGCGATTGTATTTTCCGTCATCATTGGGACTGGCACTGGCTTCGTCTACAGCACGACGTACTTTCCTGTCCTCGCACCGCTCTCCATCGCCTCGGGCGCGCCGGCGATGGCGCTGTATGTCTTTCTGCGCACGTTTGGCCAGGTGCGTCTACACCCGCATTCGGATGCCCATATGCTATGCTGACATGTCTGCCTTTCCATGTGTGCGCCCACGACAGGTCTGGGGCGTCGCGATCGGCGGGTCGGTGCTGCAAAACCAACTTATGCAGAGGCTCCCAAGCGCGTTCTATGCGCACTCGTCGCACGGCACTGCGCTCGCGTACGCAACGATCCCTGTGATTCCGTACCTTGCAGAGCCGCTGCGGACGCAGGTGAGAACCTCATTCGCGGACAGTCTGGCGGCGCTGTGGCGCGTGCAGCTTGTCATCGCCGTAGTAGGGCTCGTCGTGAGCTTTTTCATGCGAGGGCTTCCCCTCCACACGGAGACGGATCGCGAGTGGGACACATCGGGCGTGAAGAGGAATGAGTAGGACGCCAGCGGCGGCTGGCCGGAACTTGGATGTGTTGATCAGGACAGCATTTTGCCGTGAACTACTGCTAAGTACGTGTATCTCTTTGCATTACTTATTACTTATAGTGTCTTCTTTTTTCTTTTTTCTTGTACAATAAAGACTGCCGTACTTACGAATCTGTCGTCAATTGAGGATTATCATATATATACATCGGTGGCTAAGAACGACCTTAAGTTTATGGATGGGATCTCTTTTTGGTATGTCACTCCAATGTTCAACATGTGGTGGCAGCGTATATAAGTATATGGATTCTTCCGATGTGCCTTTCAAAGGTCGAGTGTGACAGGACTGAGAAAGGCGTAGTCTAGTCAAGATCCCATCGAGATCGCGCCGCAAGGCGACTCGAGTCACTCGGCATGTAATAGCTGGAACCTGAACGTGTTGGGATTGCACCAGCACCAACTCAATGATTGCAGACTACTCGTCAAGCTGCAACCCGAGTATGATGCAGGGATTTACACCTTCTTGACGTGCATCTTTTGGTGCGAGATGTGCTTGAGCGGCGTCCCCTGAAAAGGACCACGCATACATTGGTTCGTCATCCCTGATAGATACTCATAATCATACAACACTCACCTGCCTCTAGCCGGATGGATCTGTCTCTCGTTGACAATCTAGTGACACTCATGCCTCATCGAGCGAACTATGGTCCAGGCCTTGCAATGCCACTTTGACATTTCTGGACGGAGTAATGCTTCCTGGCACTACCATCATGCATGTCGGCGACAGGGAGCGCTTCGCATATCAAGGTCGAAAAGAGCAAACATTAACAATACATTTTCGTGATAGATCCTACAAGGTCTCTCCGACTCATGCCCGACCCTACTGCCAACCTGCTCTACCCACACACATGAACGGCCTCATCAAAGCAGCCATTGACTAGTGTCCAATCTGCAAGAGCGTTAAAGTTGGAGTCTTTCGACGGAGGAGACGCGCACATTCAGCAGCCCAGATTTAGTCCTTGACGAACTTGATGTACCCGACACCCCCCCTAGTGCCCGTGGTCCGTGTGTACGTGTTCACCTTGTTTGTGGGGTTTGGGATGGCAGGGTTGCTCGTGACGACTGTGACGCTTTTGTGATTGTCCAGGCTTTCCTGCAGCCACTCCTTCAGCCCAGCGGCACCCCACTGTACATACTTTACCTCCCCCTTTCGCGCCTTCGCCGTGACGTTCAGGTGAAAGTACGTATCATTACCGTACTGGCCTTGTAAATTCGCTATCCACTGCACGCCGACGTTCTTCCCATCCTGAAACTCGATGTCGAAGTGCGTCTGCAAGTCGATGCGGAAGAGCTTCTTGTCCTTTTCGATAGCCTTCCTCAGCTGGCCAGTGGGCCCCGTCTTCTTATGGTCCTTAAACGCCTTTTCGGCGTCCTGGATCGTCATATTGACGATGTTGTGGTTGTCCGTCCACGTAACAGCTGGATCAATCCACTGATCGATCAGACCCTGCAGGAGGATCTGGATATCGTCGTTCTTAGCCGTCTTAATGGTGTGCGTGGGGCTGGGTAGCGTCCAGGCTCGTGGCGCCTTGCGGGCACTAAGCTCTGTCTCTTTGAGGGATAGCTCCTCAGAGGTTGACTCTGCGATCTATGCAGTCGGTAGGAAGGTGAGGAAACAATTGTCCTAGTTTCGTTGAACTCTGTATGCAAAACGCACCTGTGACTCTGATACAATCTCAGCGCCAGTCTCGGTAGTTTCGGGACAAGATAGTGAAGACATAGTACACGCGTTGGATGGAAATTTGGGGAGGAGTGGGATACCATTTGGGGGAGAATCTGGCCGGGCTTTTATACTCGCCTTCTCTGTCCATGACATTGGTGGTCATTCGCCAACCACTACAGATGTCACCGGTTGTCGTCATTGAAAAATCTCCGCGACACGATATGGAAGACAAAATGACTTGACCGGCGGTATTGGGGGACCGCAGTGCAATACACCCGAACGCTTGACTGAAATCGGTGTTAGAATGTGTATATAGTGATGCTTACTATGAGCTAGGCCCTTAGTCGTCGCTTCCAATCATACATCGTCCAACCACTTGACTTCGGCATTCCAGCAGCATCAAGTGCAGCCGTAAAATCTCAGTTGGAGCCATACAGTTGTATCTCCGCAATACAGACCTCTTGTCTTCGTGAAGGGGAAAGCGCGGCTTCAAAGATGTAACATATTGGGGCTGTCAATCACGCAGCCTGATAGTGCCGTGACGGATATCATGTACTTAAGTACATGTTGACCCACCTGCTCTCAGCCTCGTGACAAAGATTCGCAGAAGAGGACCGCAAACGAGCCGATACTGATCGTGGGTTTCTCTTGAGATTGTTATTTCCACGCTGATCACAGCACACCTGGCCATAGATTCCGGCCCTCAGTGACTCTCTTTATAGACTAGGCTTTCGTATGTGGGTACGCGGACCCCCTTCAACATGTTCACTTGTAAACCCGTGTTGTAGCTGTCGTCATTTGAAGGTTATATGTGTACATTGATGGTAGGCAGCTAAAACCGCCTAAATATTATGGATCGGATTATTTCGTGACTCAAAACGTACCTTACAGTATGCAGTGTCGGCAATTTGCATCTTTCAAGTTAGGGCAAAAAGGCTCAGAAAGCGCTGGACTAGGACAAGTTAATGGTCGAGATCCAATCGGGATCGCGAGCAGCCTCCGCAGAATCAAAGTTGCACCAGCCGAAATATCTTGACCACCAGTGTACGCGGACTGTACGTGTGCATCCCAGTGCGGCTTTTCCCAATCCGTGCTCTTTCAGATTTCTGGCTTCCGTGTCTGTCAATCCCAACTCGCCTGAAATCGTAAAAAATATTTCGTGTTCAACGAGGGTCATAGCAACGACCAGAATGTGAGCTGACTTTACGTGTAAGCTCAGAGAAATCTCGTAGCAGATGGAAAGGTACGATACAAACACTTTTGAAATGGGCGGCTTCGCACATATTTACCGTGACGTATCCGAGTTAACGGGCGATTGCATATATGCTATTCATACATTCGTCTAGAAAGCGGAAGCCCACGTAATCGTTATGTTCATCGTTCATGTGCCTTTTAAAATACAGATGAACTGGTCATGCAATAGCCCACGACAATGCGAGTATGTTTAAAGCTGAATACCGCGTCTTCGTCCTCTTCTCCAAAACATGCCCGCAACGATGGCCTTCACTAGCGCAGCCACGGCCAGCCCCCATCCTACACGATGCACCATCTCCTCCCTCGCCTTCTCTTCATCATCCACTCCAAACACAAGGAGGCTCGCACCGAGGGCGGCGCCGCTCATGACGGCGCCGAGGCCGACGAAGCGTTTCCAGCGCTTCGTGGGGGATCCGGGAGCGACGGCGCTGAGCCAGACACTTGTCCACGCGACGGACGTCGCGTACGGGGTCGCGAAACGTTGCACGAGGACAGCCTGGATGGCCATGCTGGACGAGATGAGCGCGAGGGTGAGGTGCGAGTACGAGAGATACTCCGCGCCCGCGGGTGTGGTCGTCAAGACGAGCACAGAGGCCATGACGAGCAGGGCGGATTGGAAAGCGGTCGAGCGGGCGGGGGAGATGGCCTCGGGGAAGCGTGCGGCGGAAAGGCCGCCGAGAAGGAAGCCTCCGAGGGCGCTGAGGCGTTCGGAGCTGCCAGAGGAGAGAAATTGGGACGTCGCGATAGAGAGCTCGGTGGTTGAGGTGGGGAGGTGGGCGAAGAGTGCGGGGAGGTGGGCGAGGAGGGCGGGGAGGTCCATGCCAAGTTGGACGGTGGTGCCAGTGACGAAGGCGCACCAGACACCAGAGACAGCAAAGGTGAGGCTGTCGACGAGGCCGGTGGAGAGGCAGAAGAGCAGGAGGGCGCTGTTGGGGGGGCTGGGCTCGAAGTCAGGGTCAGGAGGCATGCTCTGCGGGAGGATGGGCGACGAGAGGGGTTTTGTCATCGGTAGCTTAGGCGGCGGGGACGATGGCGACGACGTGGACGAGCCTGGCAGACTGGTGAGGGTGCGGGTGCGGGTGCGGAGGAGGGCGGCGAGGGCAGGCGAGGATAAAGAGGGCTGTATGCGGGTGCGCCATGGTGAGCGACAGGGATTTGAGCAACGACCGATGGCGGGGAGCCTTGGCACACTCATCGCGGAACTTGGCCAGCAGAAGCCCCACCTCCCATATCCAGCCTCCGCTGCCCCCCGGCCCGCCCTCCCGTCTGACGGATCTACCTCAGCCACCGCCTCTTTCGCTCTCTTTGGCTCGCAGCATACCGCACGAGACTCAGCCGTACATGCCTCACTGCTTCTATTTGATGCAAACACGCTGCTCGCTTGCTCGTCTGACGCGGATAACAACGTAATCATGCATTCCAAGCTCAACAAATACGAGATACAAGGGCGTAGTGCCAGTCCATGTGCGCAATCACGACACAATCTATGAAGACATGTCCGTTAAATGAGCCACTCTGACACAATGCATTCTCGCAATCATCTCAACCCCGGCCGGAACTTTCATCAAGCGCATTGGGCCTATTCGGAGCATCTCCTGTGCGGACAGCAATCCCATTTGCAACCGTGTCGACGCTGTTCATCTGGATTCCATTCGCGCTAGGCTCCTTGCTGGGGCGCAAGACACTTGCGATCTTCTTCGCCAAGACACTCGGCTCCGCTTCCAGCGCCATCTTCAAGAACCAAGGCTTGCTCATATAATTCCTGATACTGTACAAACATACCATGCAGTGAGCTAACGCCACCGCTTGGTAGATTCGCCGTGGCGACAAGACTCACCCGTCCGGCAGCAGCACAACTACATTCGCCCCTTTGGTCTTCGCGATCCGCTTGCCCACCTCGTTGCTGCTAAGCCATCGCAACGCACCGCTCAGTGAACTACCGCTGCTTCCACCGACAAGGAGACCCTCCATCCGCATCAGCTTTCGCACTGCCTCGAATGCCTCTTCATCCGACGTCTTGATCCAATGGTCCATTTCCACTCGTGACAGAACGTCCGGCACGAAATCGTACCCGATGCCTTCTACGATGTATGAAGCGCCAGCGTCGGCAGTGTTGAGAGATTCCGGCAGGGCCAAAATACTTCCTTTCTATAAACATAAGGATTGAGTGAGTGTGTTGACCTATTATTGTGGGAGACTCATTCCACTTACGGGATCCACTCCAACCACAATGCACTCCTTGTTATGTTTCTTCTTGATAGCTCGAGAGATACCTGTAATAGTTCCCCCAGTCCCCGCACCCGCTACCACGACGTCCACCTTGCCTGAAGACGGCTGGGCCGCTGTCGCAGGCGTCAATGTCACCGCCTCGATGATTTCGGGGCCCGTCGTATGTTCGTGTGCGAGTGGGTTGTTCACCTATCTCACAAACGTCAGCTCTTCTCCCGGATATCGCGCACAAAGATTCACGCACATTAGCATACTGGTCAAGGATGATCCCTCCCGGAATCTCACGCTGCAGCTTCCGCGCGACGCCTGCGATGATCGTTAAGGAATTCAGCCACGAGAGGTACGCCTCGGTAAGTGACGGCTCTACCTATGTGCGACTCGGGCGCATCCCACGCTGCCTCCGTCGGGGTGCGCACCACTTCCGCACCGAGCGCGCGCAGGGCGGCTTCTTTCTCCTGTAATTAGCGGTGAGCAGGGTGGGTGGCACCAGGGAAAGGGGACGCACGAGAGACATCTTGTTAGGCATCGTGATGATCACCGAATATCCCTTATCTGTAGTATTCAGCACATGTACCGCACGCAGGAAGTAATGGGTTTGACCTTGACCGCACACGCCATCGCGAGCCCGATGCCTGTACGGACCCGGTGAATGAGTGGCACAGAGGCGTAGGAGGGCGAGGAAAGCGCACCTGTGTTCCCAGAGGTCGGCTCGATGACGACGCTCTGGCCGGGGACGAGTCTGCCCTCGCGCT